TCCTCCACCTCTCTCAGGAACACGAGCAATGATTGGATGACGCTTACTGACGAGTCATAGTATAGAGCTCTTGTTTCTGTGTGAAGTTTGGATGCATTGATGTATGAACTAATAAAGATATTGCTTCTCACCAAGCGATGCCCATATCCGCTACCAGGAAGAGGTTGTAGCTAACTTTGCTGTTCCTCATGAAACTTCTCATGCCTTACGGTGCGATTCAACCCTAACTGAAGCTTCGACAGTTTTTTCTCGATGAAGTGAGAAAGGAAATTACTAAGAAATTCGATTACAACCTTTTGGAGTATCCATCGTTTCCCCTTTCCTCCATCAATACGAATTGTTTCTCAAGGCTCGTTCTCCGAGAAAGAACCGATCGGTCGAGAAGGTGATAGAAGGGAAGAGCATCTGGTCTCCTTGAGAGTTCTTCTTATTACTTTAAAATAATTATAGACCCGCACTTAGATGTAACACGCAATGTATACAATGCATTCGCCCAAAGGTACTAACTTTCTTCTTACTTTTGATCCCAGTCGGCTGCTGCTCGGATTCTCCGGGATTCTGTCAAGGTTCCCACTCTGGTGAACCTCGAATCTGTCGTAAAGGGCCGAAAGGGCTTCTTAGCTAACGTTGTTTCATTACTGTCAGCGACTGGAGCAGAAATCTTCGTATTGGCTTCTGCAGGTGGCTTCTGCGCGACATCACCTGGCTTGCTTTCTGAAAGTATTGCTGGTAGCAGAGGTGTTGTCGTGATGGAAAAGCTTTGAGGAGAGATCATACAAGAAACGGCGCACATCAACATTAGGAACTTTTCTGTGGGCACACAGAACAAGTGGCTTCTCAAATATTCGCTGAGTCTGAGAGGAGTGGACTTCTTAAAATCTCAAATTCTGATGTTTTGATCTGTTTCTGAATAACCTTTAAAGGCATAGTTCACGATAATTTTGGGTGATCCTGAATGTGACGAAAAATGGAAGATAAGGTGGAAAATAGTGCGATGAAGGAGAAGAACTGCGTGAATCGGTGTTTTCAAGGTAAAAAAGGCATCAAAAAATCGTTAAAATGGGGGACCGGACGAGACTGAGACCAGAAAAATGGGGAAGAATGGGACGTCCGGACAAGCTCTGCAAGGTGTCCCATTGCGTACGTATGGGTCCTTGTGCGAATAGCTGGCTACGGTAAGCAAAAATTCATTCACTCGTAAGCATGAGTTAACAAAAAATCCTAGTATCAGCAAAAATAGCACACCTTTCTCAGCCTCTTGAGATAGAAATTTAGAATAAGGATCGCAACAGCAAAAAGAATAAGGGAGGGAAAAAGAATGGGAAAAGCAAAACACCTTCTCATAACTCGGCGATCAGCTGATTGTGTGGGGGTCCCAGAACGAATATTGCAATCTGTATCGCCTCGACGCTCGTCTGACGTAACACCGATCGAGGGGCGGGAAATCCGGGCGACCTCGTAACGAGGGTCCCATGGCCTAGCCGTAGATTCAAGAGCCCTCTCACTGTCAACGTCTTTATTACAAATATAAAAATTAACATTTACCGAATATTCAATATGAATAAGCATTATTACTCAAATGACATGCCAATTTATATGAAAGTAATCATTTTGGATGCATACATCACTGAAAGTCAAAATTCGAAAGCCCAAGAGTTGATGATCAGTATTACAACAGATGTTAGCTTTAAAACAGCGAAGGCTACATATATTCAGAAACAAACAACTGGGGAAGAAAACAGTGTCGATCAGACTAGGAGCTGTTGAAAAAACACTTTCCTGATTTAAAAGTTGAAAAGTTTAAAACCCCTTGCTCGTTTCCTGACTACCATATAATGTAGTTATTCTTGACACTGACTGGGAGCTGGTCTTTCTATACATACACAGCAATCTATTTCGTATCCATAAACGATATGGCCGGACAAAATAGAACGACGTTAATGGGCTCAACATCGGTATAAAGCTGCCCAGTAGGAATGTAGCATACTCGAGTAATGGGTGATTATAAAAGCCAAGTTGACCAACTGTATAGGTGATAACAGCAAATACGAAGAATATCGGCAGGCATGCTTGTACAGTAAGTGCCTGAAGAATCATTTTGTCATCATTAATATCCACTTTTCAACAGTCTTCGTATTACAAAAGTATAAATTTTCTGGGAGTTAATCAGCACCAAGTGGGGGAGAGGGAAGCCCCCTCCCCTTTCCTCCCCAAACCTTAATTCAACTTCCATTCAGAATCGTAAAAGCAGTATTGAAAGTGTATGTAGCTGACACAGTGACATGCGGTGGCCAACCAATGTACAAGTCAGTGTTCAATCTTCCTAGACGAGTCTGGTACCAATTAAGCGACCCCAGTGGGATGGGAAGCTTGGTTGGCTTAGGCGGATAACAATCCGGAATTTGATCCCGTGACCATGCGTGTGTCACAGTGCTCCTTTTGCCACAACTCCACCTCTGCCCTTTAAAATTAAAAACAAAGTTTTGGTGCTATGGAGCATGCAGTGGTGGTCCAATCAGCTTCGAATGGTCACCGTTAAATGGCGTTTCAAAATTCAGTAACTCGAAAATTTTCTCGTCCGTCTCCTTTTCCACATCAGCATAATACTAGGCTATACTGTAAATATCTGCCGAAAAATTCACATTAGTCCAGGATTCTCTCCGGATTCTGTGGAAGCTTGCCCAGAGATATTATAAAGGGACACTGTTCACTTGGGCGCACATAACATATCAGGAGACCTCATGGTATCGTAACTTTGACAAGGATACACATTTTAGATCTTTTCGTCCAAGGCAGTGAAACGTTGGGAAGAGGAATCGCTGTTTATAAGCTGTAATTGCAAACGCTCCATCAACTATGGACCAATGTTTGTTATCCTTCGAATATACTTCCGCGATTCCGCGATTTTCTGATAAAATCAGATGCCAGTGAATGTGCATAATTCCATTCACCAAATTCAAACGCTTTACGGAGGAGGTGGAGTACAGGAAATGAGGATTAACCTCGGTAGAATAATCGATGCAAGAAATCGGCACTTCTGCGTTTTTGACCTGAATTCTTAATGTTACAAATATTAGTGTGGGACCCCATAGAATTGGGCAGTGTTGAAGGTTGTCACACTGGAATAAGCTTATGCAGAGGTCTAAAATTCCCAAGTGGCGCACCTATGATCAGGAGGTCAGATTTCGTAGGTTCACTTCACTACTATATCTTCCCTCATTCCCTACCCCTTCCTCCAGCTTCCTGTCCCTTCCTACGCAACCCGACAATTCATATCTACTGGTCAGGTTGATTATGATACTGCCGAATGAAAGCGCAAAAGTACTGACATGCATATTGGCTGGCTCTGTAAACGACTGTATTTGTATGCCAATAAGGATCTAGGTGTAAGTGGAACCTGTATCGAAAACGAATAAAAAAATTACTCATTACTACGGACTTCACATATTTTATGGCTAGATGAAAGCGTCACCTTGAGAAGTTGAGCGTGAAGATGTTTGCTGTTTTCCGACATGACCCTTTCTGCTCGTAATTTTGCCATAGTCATTCTTCTCAGTATAAGTATTGCAGTATAAACCGGTGTGATCGGTAATGTCATATGAAGTATGGTGAACATAATCTTCCAGTCGAAGATGTTCAAATGACCGCTCACACATTCTTTGCCCACATCATATCCCAACTTCTTCACAATTGAATTCTTCACTTCCGTGACATCGTCGCTAGCAAAGCAGAAGATTACCTGAAAACCTTCTGGGTTGACATTTCACTCTTACAATATTTCGCTTTCATTTTCACTCTTGTCTCTGCCAGCTGGTCAATTTTGAAGTTTAGCCTAAATCAAAATCAAAATTAATGAAATTCAAAGTGGAAAAGTTGCTTCTTAGCAAGGAGAAAGCGAGCTGTGAGGTGATATTACAGCTCGGATTCTATATGAAAAACAGTTACGGTTATTTGAACCATATAAGAGATGGTAGTGCGGAAGTGTTGTAGTGGCAAGTTGCGCACTATCGCACAAATGGTCAAGGGTTTTATTTCCGCAACGATGCCAACCAGGCCTTCTGTTCCTCCTGGATCGATTGATCGGGGACAGGCTGGTCTGAGAGAATAGAAACGCTGACTTGTAGTATAAATCTGCTGGCCACCGCAAGGCATTGTATGGACATCACACGCATTTAAATCGCCACTACGATTCTACTTGGAAGTTGAATGCAGAGGCACATCTCTCAGACGGGATTGATGGAAGTCCAAAGACTCTACACTTCAGAATTATAAGAGGCGATAGCATGTGCTGTCGACACAAGACACTGATCTAGAGACTGGGAAGAAAACTTTTCTGCCCTAGACTATCCGATTAATCCATCCCAGTGGGTGAAATAATTCAATGGATGTTTGCTCAATGACATCTGGTCAGCTTTGGCATAGCTGAATTCAACGTATTGCGAGGCACGTACGTGATTCAGTAAAAAACGGCAGAACGTACGCAGAACCTCCAGAAACTTCTGTTTCGAAGTATAACCTCTCTAAAACAAGCAGATTCAGAGTTTGATGGAATTGCCTCTTGACGCTCCATGCACCATCTCTTAGCCCAGCAAAGGCACGTGGAGTCTCGTTAATACAGTGGATAAGTAGGGTGCTTTGAAAGCGCGGTCGATTCCGTTCCTTTGCCACGTATTCTACCTACCACGTACCTGTGTCGAGTATTTTATTTGCCTTGGATTGGACGATAGTAAGGTTGGTTTCGAGAGTCTCGTAAGGAGTTGAGATGTCCGGTCCGATAATCTCCCAAATTAACTCCATTTTTCAGGCCTTAAGGAAGGTGGACTCGTCAGTTCGTTTGCTATTTTACGTGTGTGCAAGCCTCATGTGTAATTGCATCATTATAGCCATTCCAATGAGATATCGAGAACCGTACGCAAATGATTCTACCCACACTTTGCAACTCAGGATAAAAGGATGAAGAATAAAGCCTTAGGGTAATGATCAACCCCGTCTAAGGGGTGAGCTTTCGCATTGGACTTCCATTCAGAACCATAGGGGCGTATTGGATGCGTATGTGTCCTTTGAACCGACCTCAGAGAGATGAAAGGAGCCATTTGGTAAGAGATACCGATCCGGAACTCGAACCCGTGGCCATGTGTGGGTGATTGCGCTCCACTTGTCGCTATGCCACTTCAGCCCCAAGGTGGCGTCCGTCAAAAAATGAAATGATTTCTCGTTAAAAAAAACTCACGAATTGAAAAAATGATGGTATGTAGAGTAGTATAATGATGATTACAACTGTTCTGGTTTTTGGAGCCGAATGTCCTAATATGTAGTATCGATAAACGAACGAAAACAATAAACTCCATAACCAGTGAGAATAACAATGCAACATAAAACTGTATCTGAAACGCCACTTTTCTCTTTTCAAATAAAGTGATTTTTGGAAAATGTAAATAAAGGAAAACCCTACCCAATATAGCATGTTAAGGAACTAAAGAGCTTACACGGTCCATTAGAAAAAAAGAAAAGTCCTGTGCCACCGGGGATAAGTCTGAAATGTAAAGTGTTGATACTGTTATAACAATACAAGAATGACCTTACAATTACTTTATTCCCTATGTTTTTTATATAATGCGTTTATTAGGTCTGACAGTGTCAGCTGCTTGAAAGGCACAGCCCACGACAATTCTGGGTTATCTAACAAGCGAAGAATAGTGGGACGCTATAGTATCGGCAAATGGACAGGGTAGGGCGTAATAAGGGCTCTAGAACCTGATTAGCCTAATAAACACCACCGTAGACGAGATCCTGAGCGTTGTAAAAGCTGTAGAGGTTGCACCACTCGCACTAGGACCCACACCTTGCACGCAAGCAGCTCACTGAAATCAGTTGTATGCGGTGGTGATCTCCTTTGGGTAGCTCGTCCAAATACTCCCTCCGTGTAACTTCTGTCGAACTGCGCCTTTGAAATTCAGAGTACGTCGGGGGTGGTCCTTCAGCTTCTCAGTTGATCGGACATGAAATATGCTTATCGTGGATTGCAGGTGTCTCTTGCCTGATCATGGATCGTGAAAACAGCAACATTCAGGTCACTCCCGGCGTTTTGAAAGTTGTTACTCTTTTCTTACGGCATGCTACTTTTCTTGCTGCGCCATTTTTTATGAGTGAAAACGTCTGCGATATCCCCAGCAGCTGCTGTCATTCACTTTGTTCAGTAACTAGCGTTGGCAACCTTCTCTCTCAGATTTGATTCCAATGGGACATGTAAGTGTTTTTGGGGAATTTATTGCCTCGGTATGTCCAGATGACTCTTTAACCCATTTACGACCGCGTGGCAGGGCCCCGCCATATCGTGGTTCTCTAGTATTTATATTATTTATAAAGTGTTCTTACAATTTTTTCATATTTTCAAGTATCAGCTGAGCTCATAGCCCTCTAGAGTATTTTGAGGCATTGTGGACCAGGAATGATTCATTTCTAACGAAAGCTATAGGAGAAATTAAGAGTCAATGTAAATGCAATATAAAAGGCGCGGTCGCCAATGGGTAAAACTGATTCATTCAACTGTTACTCAATGGAAGCCCTTCACATTGCCATCAGACCTGGTTAAAATGCCTACCAACAACAAGCGTTACGTAGGTTCATAGTGAAAATTGCATAAAACTGAAGTTCAACACGAGTTTCTGAATTCCGCACAAATTTGTTCCTTATTCTCCTGATAGTTTACACCCGCAAATTCTAATGTACATCTAGGAGCAAGTGAATAATTATCCAGTTACACATATAAACTAATAAATAGATCCGTCATTTACAAATTGTGAGTGAGAGGGGCGTTTGCCTCATTTTTCTCTCGGTGCACTAGTATACTCTATGCCTTCACAGCTTTGTCATGACCGAATGGTAGCTAGTTAGAATGCACTGCTCTGTATCTGTTTTTGACCGCTACTTTTATAAGCAGCTGCCGTCACTTCTATATAATTTCCTTAAAAAACCCACTATCGTATCTTTTACAGCATCGAACAGGCCTATGTCAAGACTCCTATTCCTTGGTGCCTTATTTTTTTTTTGCTGGAATTCGCTTTACTCATGGTGGCACTTTTGTATGATACACCAATAAATAAACAAAGNACATGAAAAATGCTTATCGTGGATTGTAGGTGTCTCTTGCCTGATCATGGATCGTGAAAACAGCAATATTCAGGTCACTCCCGGCGTTTTGAAAGTGTTTTTATTTTTTTCTTACGGTATGCTACTTTACTTGCTGCGCCATTTTTTTCATGAGTGAAAATGTCTGCAATATCCCCAGCAGCTGCTGTCATTCACTATGTTCAGTAAGTAGCGTTGGCAACCTTCTCTCCCAGATTTGATTCCGATGGAACATGTAAGTGTTTTTAGGGAATTTATTGCCTCGGTATGTCCAGATGACCCTTTAACCCATTGACGACCGCGTGGCCCGCCGGAGGGCCATATCGTGGTTGTCTAGTATTCATATTATTCATAAAGTGTTCTTACAATTTTTTCATATTTTCAAGTATCAGCTGAGCTCATAGCCCTCTAGAGTATCTTGAGGCATTGTGGACCAGGAATGATTCATTTCTAACGACAGTTATAGGAGAAATTAAGAGTTAATGTAAGTGCAATATAAAAGGCTCGGTCGCCAATGGGTTCTCTCGGTGCACTAGTATACTCTATGCCTTCACAGCTTTGTCATGACCGAATGGTAGCTAGTTAGAATGCACTGCTCTGTATCTGTTTTTGACCGCTACTTTTATAAGCAGCTGCCGTCACTTCTATATAGATTCCTTAAAAAACCCACTATCGTATCTTTTACAGCATCGAA